TGGGTGCTCGGGGCTTGCCCGCACACCCTGCCACCAAAGGCACTCGGCAGAGCCGGCTGCCAGGGAGCTCTGCCTCCAGCAGCGGGTCCCCCACGGCAGGGGCTCTGGAGGGACGAGGGTGGGGGCAGGGAGGACCACCCTTGAGAACAAGGGCGCCCACGGCTCCTGTGCTCAGCCTGGGGTCTCAGCCACCCACCCGCGTGCCGAGGGGCAGCGCCAGGCTCAGGGGCGAGGGCGGCCCTGGGCTCAGACTCACCAGAGCTCCCCTGGGGGGGGGGACCTCCCAGAGCCCTGCAGGGTGTCCCTGCAGAGGGCAGCACCCGGCTCAGACCTGCACAGGGCAGTCCCGCACGAGGCGGTGACGGTGAGGTCCCTGCACAGTGCCGGGGCGAGAGGCTGCTGACCGGCCAGGAGCGCCAGAGCCAACCAGAGGGGGGGGGTCCACGCAGCGACGGCCCCCGGGCAGCCCCTGTGTCCCCAAGGCTCTGCAGAGCCGCCCGGGGCCCGCTCCTCTCCGGGGCACCTGGATTTCCGCCTGCAGAGAGATCCTGGGGTCCGGCCCACCCGCTCTGCCAGGGCCGCAGGTCACTCTGGGGACGCCTGTCCTGCCCACCCGCTGCACCCTGTGGCCGCTTCTTGCTGCCTCAGGCTGCTGCCCAAGGGGACCCCAGTCCCTCACAGGGGTGTGGGGACCCGGCACCCTCTGCTGTCCCCCCGGGACACAGCACCACCCCTGGGTGCCCTGCAGGGTCAGGTGGCCATCCCAGCCTGCACCCTTGACCCCCGTGTCCACAGGCGCCTGCCTGCAACCCCGGCTTCCACGCCGGTGGGACCCGGCCTGGCCTCGCCAGCGGGACGTCACTCCCGGTGATACCGCGAGCAGGTGGCGAGTCGCAACTGCTCAGCCTCTTTGGAAACTGGGTTTGGAGTTGCTGAGAGGCGATGGCGACGGGAACAGACAGCAAGAGCTGCCGCCGTCAGGGTGGGAGGGCGGACGCCCATTCCCAGGACCCCACGAGCGAACGTGGCCGTTTCTGTGGCTGCTACCCCAACGCCCAGAAACGGGTGACCCAACCGCTCTGGTGTCTCCCAGCTGAGTGCCCCAGACCCCCTCCCTAGATTGGGGGGCCAAGCCACCAGCACGCCCCCTCCAGGAGCAAGGGGCAGGAGCCCACCACGCCCCACGCGGCCCCTCGGGGACAGCTGTCTTCCCAGCCCTTCCTCACTCAACAGCAGAAGGGCTCTGTCACACGCCCCCTTCTTCAGGGACACACGCAGCTCTTCCCTCTCGTGTACTTGCTCATTCCTCCCTTTCCTGTCACTCCTTTGTGCCCCACCGTCTGGACACGTAGGACCCCACAGCCAGCCGGGGGCTCTCGGTGGGAGCCTTGCCGGCCACCGTGGTAGCCAGGTGAGCGCCGCCCTCAAGCCCCTCAAACCCACCACGTGTCCCGCGTGGAGCGGCCCAGGGCTGGGCGGCGGTCCTGTCAGCTACGCCCACCCCAGCCCATCCCTGACCACGAGGGCTGGGCCAGCCGCTCCCGCCCAGCTGAGAGAGAGGCCCAGGCAAGCCCGGTCCGCCAAGACCTCCAGGTGCAACCCTGGTGAGCTCCCGGCCCCACAGGTGGCGAGCGCTGCATGGTGTCCTGGCCCGGCCAGAGGGCGGCCCTCGTCCTAGGCTGCCCAGGTGGGCGCTAAGTCTCTGTGGCCAGGGGTCCAATGACGAGAGGGCCGGGCCAGGCAGAGGCCGCTCTGTCTCAGGAACAGCGAGGCCCTGGGGCCAGCATGCTCCGCTCCTCCTGGCTGGCCTCAGGGCCAGCGGGAAAGGCTTTCTCGGGCCCAGCAACGGTTCCCTGACATGAAATGTAACTGCCCCCGCTCCGGTTATGGCGGGCAAGGAAGGAGGACCCATGGGTGGGGACAGAGGGAGAGGAAAACTCTGGGGGTGGCGCAGGGGCGCCGGGTGGTGGCGTCTCCTCTCTGAGCCCTGCAGCCCTGTCACCTGCATCTCGGTGGCTCCTACAGAGTAGCCCCTGGCGCCGGCTCCTCTGACCACTGGGGGCTCGGGCCTCCCCCACCCGGGCAGCTGACTCTGGCCACAGCCCCCTGCTCCCCGTAGCCGAGCTACTCTGGCAGGTGCTGGCCCCCGAGAGCTGGGAGGACCGCCCTGCCCCTTGGCCTGAGCACCATCCGGCCACGTGGCCACGGCTCCACCGTGGTGGCCCCCCCTGCCGGCTCTTCTCCCTGTAAGGCAAGACCCCTCTGGCCTCCAGGGCAGGCTCCCAAGAGGCCGGTGTGGAGTGGGGACACAGGGGCAGCATCTGCCCTGGCCACACGGCTCCTCTCCTAGCGCCTCGCAGGAAACTAAGCCGGCAGGCGCTGATGGGGCCGGGATTTGGACTCGGGCCTGAGCGTCCTGTATTCGGGGATGATGGCAAGAGGGGGTAACTGAGGCGCCTCACAGCTACAGAGATGACACTCGCTGTCGGCTTGTGCCTTTTCCTCGGTAGCTTTTGATCAGCTGTCCTGACCAGCACCGGTGGGAGGAGCAACGGCAGCCCGGTGGGGAGGTCCAGGCCGGTGGGGAGGTCCAGGCCGGTGGGGAGGTCCGGCCCGGTGGGGAGGTCCAGGCCGGTGGGGAGGTCCAGGCCGGTGGGGAGGTCCAGCCCGGTGGGGAGGTCCGGCCCGGTGGGGAGGTCCAGGCCGGTGGGGAGGTCCAGCCCGGTGGGGAGGTCCGGCCCTGTGGGGAGGTCCGGCCCGGTGGGGAGGTCTGGACGCACCCAGAGCCGCTCCCGGGAAGCCCGAAGGCTGCCCTCCCCGCCCAGCCCCAGCTGGAGCCCTCAGGCGCAGAGGGGGGCTGAGCACTCAGGAAGCCGTCCAAGGCCCAGGCGACGGAGAGAGGAGTGAGCAGCGAGGGCAGAGTGGCCGCTGGGTGCCTGCGCGGGGTCTAGGCACGCTGTCCCCACACCCTGCCTGGCAGTCATTCTCAAGTGTGTCCAGTGCGCCCCACTCACCCGGGTCCCCTTGGCGTCATGATGATGGAGCTGAGGATCTGGGAGGGACAGACAAATGTTTCCCCCCCCAGGGGGAGGGGCCGGGCTGCGTCTCAGCACCTGCGAGATGGGAGGGACACCTCCACCTTGCGGGTCGTGCTACGGACTTCTCAGGGGACGGAGCCGTCCCGCCCCAGGAGGCGCCTGGGTCAGGGCTGCAGCTGTGGCCAGCACGACCTGAGCCTGCCGTCCAGAGGCCAGAAATGGGCTGGACACTGGCCCTGCCGGGAGGAACTGCCCTGCCCAGTCTGGTCAACTAAGAAGAGGCACGGACAGCGGGTGACAGGTCACCGTGGTGACCGTGGAGCCTCTGCCCAGGGTTCACCCCGAGTCCGGGCTCCCAGGCCTGCTCGGTCCCAAAGCACGTGGTCAGAGGCGGCGCACACAGAGAGCGGGCCGGGCCGGGCAGAGCCAGGCACCCACGACGCCGAGCAGTGCTTGGGCTGCCAAGCCAGGCCCGGGCAAGAAGCAGCAGGCCCGGAACATAGCTGCACGGTGGTCTGTGAGTCACCGGCTGTGGCACAGCAGAGGGTACGTGGGGGAGGGCAGAGAACTGCACACTTGGATCGGGTCCCCAAAGCCGCCTCTCCAGCGATGACTCAGAGTCTCTGGGTGAAGGGAGCAGCCTCCTCTGGGAGGCAGGCAGGACAGCGGTGAGGAGTGTGGGGTGCAGCCCACCTTCCTGCCCCAGCCGCGCACCGTGGTGGGCCGGCCCTCAGCCACGAGGGGGAGCGGCTGTTGGCACCAGCCACCCACGGGCATTGCTCCAGCTGTGAGAGGAAACCACGGGCCCTGAAATGCGGGTGCCCTTACGCCACGTGGGGGTTACCTTGGGGCTCTCTGCCAAGGATGGCGACTGACTCGATCATGCCCGGCCAGGCCACGGGGGTGTCTGGGCCATGGCCCACAGGGCACAGGGGGAAGGGGGAAGACGGGAGGCCTGGGGTCGGGGTGCATGTGGAAGAAGACGCAGAAGCCCTCCAGGTGCCAGCACCAGGGCCCTGGGCCGGCCACTGCTGCAGCCTCCAGCCGGCCAGCTCCTCCCTGCATCTGAGGCTTGGCCTCCCCTCTTACAGAGGGGCTGTGCTCAGCCAGCCCGCACATCCCGTCCCTTACTCCGTCTGACCTGCGGTTGGTCCCCGCCTATCCCTCCTCCAAGAGCCCAGGCCAACAGCCCCAAAGAGTCACGTGGGGGTGACCAAGAAACCAGCTGTCAATCTCCAATGACTAAGTCATCCGTTGCCCCTCCGCAGGACGGGGAGAGGTGAGCTCTAGTTTCTCGGCCCCTTCCCCACATGCTGCCCCCACCCTCCTCCACAAACACATCAGGGGTGAGCTGGCGCCCACGGAGAAGTGGCTGGGAAGGGCGGGGGAGGGGGCTGCCACGGGGTGCGAGCGAGGCGGGAGGCGGCGGCCGGGCGCGGCGGGCAGGGGCGCTGCGGAGCGGACGCGGGGCGGACGCGGGGCGGACGCGGGGCGCGCAGCCAGGGCGCAGGAAGCCGGCGCGCGGGAGGGAGGAGAGGGAAGGGATGCCGATTTCGGCTGGGGGCGGGGAAGCCCCTGATTGGGGCGCGGAAGGCGTGATGTCACGTCCGGCGGGGGAAGCCCTGCCTCGCGCACCCCCGCCCCCGTCCCCGCCCCCACAGGTGGTGCTGCAGCGCCGGGCGCTGGGCGTGGGGGGCCCGCCCTCTGGGACCCCAGTCGCGGCCCGCGCGCTCGCCGGCGCCCTGCGCCCCACCCAGGACATCGATAGGCTCGCGCGGGCCGAGCGGGCCCTCAAGTCCCCCGGGGAGCCTGAGGAGAGCCCGGTGCGCCCCGGATCGCGCCCCCGCGCCGCGCCCCGCCCCGCCCGGGTACTCCCTTTCCTCCCGCCCTGCGCCCCCCGCCCCACCCCGCCCCTCTCCCGCGGCCGCCAAGGGGCCGCCGGCGGCGGGGGAGGCGCGAGCCGGACTGCGCGCCCGCCGCCGCGCTCTGGGCGGCCGACGACGCGGACCTCGCGCTCCGCGCCGCCGCCGCAGCCGGCTTTTGTTGTCTCCGCCTCCTCGGCCGCCGCCGCCTCTGGACCGAGAGCCGCGCGCGGGGACCTTGGCTCTGCCCTTCGCGGGCGGAGGCTGCACGGGGCCCGGCCGGGATCCGAGAGAGGCGCGGGCGGGCGGCCGGGGACGCCGCCGGCCCCGCCATGGAGCTCCGGGCTCGAGGCTGGTGGCTGCTGTGCGCGGCCGCCGCGCTCGTCGCCTGCGTCCGCGGGGACCCTGCCAGCAAGAGCCGGAGCTGCGCCGAGGTCCGCCAGATCTACGGGGCCAAGGGCTTCAGCCTGAGCGACGTGCCCCAGGCAGAGATCTCGGGTGAGTGAGGGCGCGGCGCCCGGGGACCCCGACCCAGCCGGGCTTCGGGCCGCAGACCCTGTCGCGCGAGGGGTCTCTCCTATGTCCCCTGCTCTCTCCCTGGTCCTCCTGGCGCGGCCACACGCCCCAGGCGCCTGATCCCGCCGCCTGCGCCCAGCGGCCCGGGCTCCTAGTGCCCCTGCGCCTCCACTCATCCTCACCCCCACGGCCCTCGCCTCCAAGCGCCGCGCCGCCCTCCCTCGCCCGGGTCTCCTCCGCTCGGCTCGGCCGCCTCCCCCCAAACACGCACAGCGCGCCTTGCCCGCGGAGCAGTTCGGGCCGGGCGGTCGTGGCGCGGTGCGCTCCTCTCGGGCCGCCGGCTCGAGCTGGGCGCCTTTGGCCGGCGTCTGGGCCCAGCGCGCCGGGGACTCCGAGCCCCAGGGGCCAGGTGCCGGCCGCGGGGCCGGCCGTTGGGGGGCTGCCCGGGCTCGGCGTGGCCCGGCTCTTGGGGCTCAGTTGACGGTGGCCGCGGACTCCCACTCTCCCCAGGCATCTCGGATCCTGCCTGGGGATTCCCGCGGGGCCTCCAACTAGGGCAGCCCAGATTGGTTTTCAAAGCGGACCCCCTCAGTGCAGGGGGCGGGGGGAAGGGGAGCAGAGTGGTAGGGAGCGAGCTGGGTGCTTCTCCGGAGCTGAAGGCCGCCGCCTCTCGGGGAGTCCCGCCGAGTAACTTGTGCGCGCCGGGGCCCCCGCCTGGCACGGGGGCGGCCTGGAGCGGCGAGTCCAGCTGCAGGTGGTCGGCGCCTTGGATCCCGCCCAGGGCCGAGTCGTTTCTTTGTAAGAACCGCGGTCCTCCTGGCGGCCGCCTCGGCCCTGCAGCTGCCTGCGGTTCCCTCCCCTCCCTGCGCTGCCGCCGGAGCTTGGGGACAGAGTGTGTGTGCGCGGGTGGGGCGGTGGGCGCAGTGTGCTGAGGACCTCCCGCTGGCGAGCTGCACCCCCAAACGTGTGGGGGACCCCCTGGGGTGGGTGCAGGGCAGAGGTGCCTGCACTGGGACCGTGCGCTCAGCCAGAGGGGCCCAGAGGGCAAGAGCGGAACAGACTGGGGTCCTGCTCTGGGGGTTGGGGAGCTCCAAACTGGGGAGGGGGTGCTGGGGAAGGGCCACGCTCACATGGTGACTGGGACATGGAGGGAGTGCACCTGTGGACGGTGGCCTGAGGTGCCTGTGCTGTGCTCTGCTCCAGGGATACAGCCCTGTCCTTGTCAGGCCACCTCCTGCACCTGGCTGGGCTCCCTGTCTCCCAGACCGGGGCTCCGCTGGTGCCTGGCAGCACAGGGCCCTGGCACAACGCAGTTCCTGCCCTGCAGCTCCTCTGCCCTCCTCACGGACACAAGGGCTGGCACCTGTGCACCCCTGGCCTTCCCGGCGAATTCCTCCCAGACACCGGGGTGTCCTGGTGGTTGAATGGCTGCACCCCCTCCCCCAGCCCGGGGTCTTTGGGAAGCCTCAACCCCACAGCCCTTCTTAGCACACCCACTCAGCACTTGCATCCTTGGGGACCGTCCCAAACTTGCCAGCGTGCACAGGCCACTGTTCCCAATTAGGCAGAGGCAGAGTGGCAGAGCTCTGGCGGAAGGTAAGGGGGGTCGAGCCGGAGAGCCCGGGGTCCTGCGCCTTTGGGCTGGGAATGCAGTGAGTTAGGGACCCAGGACAAGGAGATGGTGTTGGCTTCTCTGTGACTTGTGTGTAGGGGGGTGCCCATCCAGCTGGGGGGTGCCGATGCCCTGCCACTGGGCATCAGGCCGGCCATGGGCTGGCGCCACCCACTCCAGGCCCGCAGGCTGGGCTGCTCTCTGGGCAGGGTGACCGCCTCCCCCCCGCCCCCCCTCACGCGCCCCCCCTCCCCCATCCTCTCCGGGGAGCTGCTCTGTCTGGACCCCGTCTGGCTGCCCCCAAAGCTGGGGAGCACCCTGCAGGGCCAGGCCACTGACAAGAGTGTGGGTGCCACTCGAGTGAGAGAAGCAGGGTGACCTCCCAGGACAGCAGCAGTCCTGGGGCAGCCAAGCCCCTAGTCCCTCCAGCTCTGTGGGGCTACGCCTGGCCTCCGCCGTCCGGGCGCCCTCTGGTGGCCCCGCAGCCCCAGCTCCTCTGGAAGCCCTGGACCCTCTTTGCCTTCTTGGGGACCCAGACTCTTGCGGTGGGACCTCCTCAGAGGGGCAGGGCGGGGGACCCTGGGCTTGGACGCCTGCGGGGAGTCTGCCCTGGGCTCAGCGGGTCGGGCAGGGTGGGGCGGAGACCTGAGAGACTCTCGGTTGCAGGGCAGGGAGGTGGCCCTGGGCGTGTGGGTGGCGTTTTCAGCCTCTGCCTGAGGGACCAGAAAGGGCAGCAGTGACGGAGACTTTACTCATAAAAGAGGGAAACGTCAGACAGACGCATGGGGCTCCCGTTGGGGACTTCTGTTTAGTGAGGACAGTTGTCCCATTTTACGGCGAGGAAACAGGCCTGGGAGGCAGCAGGGGACCACGCCAGTGCGGCCGGCAGTGCATTTGGCCCTTGCTCGCGCCCGGTGCCCCCCAGACAGCACAGCCAAGTTGAGTGGTGCCCGGGGCCTCCGCATTGCCCGAGCCTCGCGCCGATTCTCGCCCTCATGCCGACAGGCCCCCTGCACGGTTGTCCCTGGGCCTTAGCTGTTCCCTGGGCAACTGTTTGCTCATGCCCAGGGGTCCCAGTGCCCCCGCCTTGGGACGCGAGCTCTCTGGGGTGGAGACCCCCAGTGTCAGGCTCTCCGTGGTAGCCGCAGAGCCGGCCTGCCTCCTGCCTCCTGGTTCTCCGCAAATGCTTGCCAGGGGACCCAGGCACGTCCCGATGCACGCTGGCCATCCTGCGCGGGGGAGTGGGCAATGGGGGCTGAGGAGGGTGTTCTCCAGGTCCCCCCGCCGGGGCTGCGTTGGGGGTGGGGTCAGAGGGCTGCGGGGAGCCATCAGCGTAGCGGGAACTGCCAGTTCCTGTGCTTGCACCCTCTGGCCAGGGTGGGCACCCGTGGGCCCAGAGCCTGCACTGATGCCCCACTGAGGCCCCTTGGCGGGACCCAGTGGGTCTTTTCCTGTCTGTGCTGGGCCTCGCCACCAGGTGTCGGGCAGAGTCTGGGGGGGGGTCTGCAGAGGCCCCAGAAGGACTTGTCTTGGCCGAGCCCACGGCCTGTCTCTCAGGCACGCTCAGAGGGGCTCTCGGAGGCCGCCTGGCACATAGCCCCTCCTAGAGCAGAAAGGTGCATGTCCCCTGTCCTGTCCCCGTGTGTCTCCACGTGGTCCCTGGGGTGGCCCCACCTGTGCCCTGCTGCCTGGTCCCCCCACCGTGTGAGAAGCCAAAGGAGGGCTCCGGGGTTCCCCGTCCCAGCCAGAGGTGAGGTCCCTGCGCGGTGCAGCGTCTGGGACCCCGAGCCCCCCGCGTCGGGAAGCCCCCCACTGAGCCTGGGCACAGGCTCCAGCTCCCCACCCGGCCCTACGCCTGCATCTTCACCTGTGAGAGTGGAAACCATCGTAGCCACCATGAAGGTGGCCGGGAGAGGGACAGTGCTGGCACCAGGCCCCGCGTGGCAGCCTCAGGCCGAGTGTCCCCTGCCCATGAAGCCCCGTGCGGCCGTGCACGGCCCTCTCGGGTGGTGTCAGCCCGTAGCTGTTACTGTCTCGTTAACACATTGGGGACGTCTCTGTAGACCCGTTTTACAGGCGAGAGAACCAAGGCTTGGAGGACCCCCTTTCCGAGGGCCGTCGTCGGCTTGGCCCAAAGCCGGTGGCATCCGCCACAGCCCAGTAAAGCCAGGTCAGGCTGCTCTGTCTGGGGCTCAGTGTTTTCCAGCCTCCCAGCCTGCCATCCTCCCTGTGCAACCCGACGGGGTGCTGGAGTCAGCCTTCCACAGAGCCAGGCCTCCCCTCCTGCCTGGCCCTCTCGGCCTGCGGATGGAGGACGGGCCACCCCAGCCTGCTGAGGAGGCTGCCCCCAGGCACCAGGGCGTGAGCTGGGTGACCCCAGGGTGTGCACAGAGAATGGCCTGGCCAGCCCAGAGAGAAGCCCCACTGTGTCCCCAGTGGGGGGTACAGGCCTCCCCACACGGGGACCAAGCCCCCCAGGAATAACAGACACCCCATCCACCAGTGCCCCTAGGGGCCAAACCAGGGGCACAAGACGAGTCCGTCTGTTGAGGACTCGTGCCTCCTGGGCGGCTCTGATGGGGGCATTGTGAGCCCGTGTCAGCAGGTCAGGTCTGCTGCAGGCCGGGGGGGCCTCCCTGGCAAGGACCTGGGTCACACGGTGGAGCTGGGCTGGGGCCAGGTGGAGAGCGCGGCGGGTGTGGGCACGCCCGTGTCTGCCCCTAGGCACCCACGTGGTGGCACAGGTGTCGGCCATGGGCCGGCATTAGACTCCAGGCGGGGCAGGATGGGGGCTTGCCCCAGGCCACACCAGAGCCAGGTCGGGCCTGGGCTTGCATCTGCCGTGCTGGCCTGGGTGTGCGGGGCGGTGAGAGGGGAGGGACTCGGCCTCCCCGAGGCCTGGTGCACGGCAGTTGCAGGGCAAGACTGGGCGCAGGGTGGAGGGTGTGGCGGGTCCCCTGGCCTGCAAACCTGAGCTGCCTGGATCTCGCCCCTGGGGTCTGCACAGCCCTGTGGGGTTCGGCTGTTGCGTTATGAGGTGGCTCCAGACCTGCCCGGAGCCTCAGCTCCCCGCGGCCCTGCCTTCCACGGCCTCTCTCACAGGTGTTTGTCTGGGAACAGGCCTGGGCAGGTGCGCTGAGCCGCTTGAAGTCTCCAGGCCGGGGGAGGTGTTGGGGCTCGGTCCCCAGAATGGGGCAGTGCTCTCCCCCCACTTCCAGGGCCCACACCCTGGTTGTGCTGCCAGGTGGGAGCACGCACAGCCAGATGGGGGCACGCACAGCCAGGTGGGGAACACGCACAGCCAGGTGGGGAACACGCACAGCCAGGTGGGGGGCACTCACAGCCAGGTGGGGAGCACTCACAGCCAGGT